GCTGAGAGGAGGCGGGGGAAGGAGAGAATGCTGAGCAGGCAGGGATGGAGGGGAGAGAGGAGAGAGAGATAGGGGTGGGGGGGCGTCGGCTTGTCTGCATGATGAGATATGAAACACAGTCAGTCACTGCACCAGTCGTTCTTTATTAGAGGAAGAGTNGCTGAGAGGAGGCGGGGGAAGGAGAGAATGCTGAGCAGGCAGGGATGGAGGGGAGAGAGGAGAGAGAGATAGGGGTGGGGGGGCGTCGGCTTGTCTGCATGATGAGATATGAAACACAGTCAGTCACTGCACCAGTCGTTCTTTATTAGAGGAAGAGTCGTGTTATTATTTTTGAAGCTAGAACAGGAGAACGGCAACAGATACTGTAATCAGAATCAGCTGTTGTTTTAAAGTGGATGTAATGGATTTGTTTGAATGTGGAGGGAAAGTCTGACTCTCTTCATCATCCTTACAAATAAACAACAGAGTCCTGAGTGCAAAGAGAGAAGCAGCGTCGATATGAATGATTAAAATATTCCTGAAAAGTTACATTATTAATTAGAATAGATTAGAATAATCAGACTGATGGCTAATCAGAGATATATTTGCGAGGTGGGGTCGTATTGGTTCCTCGTTATATCCTGTTGACCCTCACACACCAAACATCTGGCCCCATCTGTTGTGTATTTAATGCTAAACCTTTTAACTTGCACTTTTTTTATTGAATCACAAAGTCCAGTTTCGTTGTAGCTTTAGCTTCTGGAAGTTTCGGCGACTCAGCGTCAACACTGAAGAAAGCCTAAATTATTCAATTCATAAGCAGGGACATGGACACTGGAGAGCTGGGGGGGGGTGTGTTTGTGTTTGTGTGTGTGTGTGTTGCTCGGGAGAACGTGATGGGGAAAAGTCAGACGCAGCACTCTGTATTAAATGTAGCATGACAGACTACTTTTTTTTGCAGTCTGGCAAAGACGGAGGCAAAACAATATTCACTCAAAAGCAAAAATGAAATAATTGGAATTTAACTCGTTATGATAAGACTCTACTCTTCCTTATCTGACACGATCCCTTGAGGGGCGACGGGGAAGGTTTGGAACAGGGCTCAGACTCTGTAAGTCGTTATCAGTAGTTACTTACTATCTTCTATCTGTTTATCTATTTCTTCTATTCACTATCTTGTTGTATTTTAAAGTCACAGCTGTAGAATCTAAATACTTTAAAGCTCCCATCCAGTGTAAAGGTCTGTGTCCATGTGTAGTGTGATTATAGATCAGCTCTAGCTTCTATATTAATACTGTGAAAGTATCAAAGCCTCAGTCCACAGAGAAATGCACACAGCCTGTATTCAGAAACTGAGCCTTAAAACCAGCCGTCAGGACTTCTGGAACTTTGTGATGTCACAACAAAGCAGTCACCAAGCCCCGCCCACCTGGACCCACCATCCAAACCTTGCAGGATTTGGTTTCTCTGAGTGTTTTTACCTGAAATCTGCAATATTTTTATTGGCTCTCTCAGAAAACAGTCAGCCAATCAGAAGAGAGGCTCAGAGCCTCCTCTCTTCTGATTGGCTCACAGACCTGTTGTTACTAGAGCTGCAGAGAGAAGCCTGAGAGAGGAGATGTAAAACTACACTGAGATGGTTTTTATATCTTCTGATGGATCAACACTTCAAATAAAACACAGAAGAAGAAGAAAATATGGAGCTTTAAATCTGCAAATGGAGGATCACAGTTTAGCAGCTGCTTGATTCTACATTACATGGTTACAGTTTATGTGTGCTCACTTTGCCCACTCCTCTCTCATTTTTATGGATAAATAATATTTCATTCTGTGTTAATTTGTTGATAGACACAAAACAAAACAGACTGCAGCACCAGAAAACAAATCTAATAAAATAAATGTTTAAAAAAACATGAGATACAGCAACATAAAAGTTCGAGAAATAAATCAGATATTTTTTTTTACAAACATCTTGAATAGTGAAGCAGCTTTGAGCTCTTTGCTATGTAAATGCCTGTAAACGAACATCAACAATAATAATAATAATAATAGTGATGACATGAAGTGGAAAAGAAGATTAGTGATATTGAATTGTTTTGTGATGATTTGTCATCTACAGCTTCTCACTGCAAAACTTTTCCAGCTATGAAAGAAAAATGGCTGAAAAATCTTCATTAAATAAAAAAGATAATCAGTCAGGGAGGTGTAAGTGTCTGGAAGGGATGAGTCTGCGGAGAGTGTGACGAACTGAAGTGATGACAGTACATCAAACATTTTAATGTTCACTGGTAGAGAAGGTACAGAGCCTTGTGTTTGTCTGCCCCCTACTGGTTCAACCGTGTCACTGCGCTCTATTTACACAGTGAGGCAAACAGTTTCTGACCTCTGTCGGTGGCAGAATCATCAGGTGTGATCATTGTCTCTCTCTCTCTCTCTCTCTCTCTCTCTCTCTCTCTCTCTCAGGTGGACTGGGAGAGCAATGGCGGCCTGGTGAAGAAGCTGCCGTCGATCCGTGAGGATGAGGAGGGCGACGAGGAGCAGAACTCGGTGTCCCGCGCCCCTCGCTCCCCGCTGCGTCTCAGCAGGGGGCTCAACTCGCCCCTGCGCTCCCCCCTCCTCCCGCCCAGGCCGTTCAGAGCTCCCTCCGAGCACTCGCGTCCCACCACCCTGCAGATACCTGTGGTCAGCTTCAGCAGCATGCCGCCTGAGCTCAGCCCCAGGTAACACACACACACATACACACACACACACACACACACACACACACACACACACACACTCACAGATACAGGTCACTGGAAAAACAAAGCATAGCCGAGTATGACCAATAGTCAGAAGCATCAAGAGGCAGGAGCCGCTGCTCAACATGCAGTTTGATGCTGCAGCATAGGTGTCTGGCTGCCATGGCAACCAGCAGATTACAGTGCTGCTGAATCACATGGGGCCTGGCTGCTGTTGGAAGGTCTATAGGTTTTCACACTGTAGGAAAGTCAACGTGTCCGTGTGTGCACAGAGATTAATAACAGCCTATGTGCTGTGCAGCCGTGTGTGAACACAAGCTGCTGATAGATGAAAATACTGCTCAGCCAACACAGATACACACTGTAATTAGTGCTCTTTCAATTTCTCCCTCCTCTTCTTATTTACATTCCTCTCCTGCCCCCCCCCTCTCTCTCTTTTACTTTTTCCCATCCTTCCTGCACAGATTCGTGGACGGCATCGAAACAGAGAGTAACTCCACCTCATCGCAGAAGTTTGAGTTCAGTCCCAGCCTCTCACCTGCAGCACCGCCATCCCCATACCCCGGTATGACACACACACACACACACACACACACACTTTAATATTTAGCCTCTCTCTCAGGAGAAAAGAAAATGAATATTAATGCGTGTTTGTTTGTGTTGGGTGCAGGGACCCAGGAGCAGTCTGAGATCAAGCAGAGTGTGTCTAAGCTGACGGAGGAGGTGAGTGCTGACTTGATGTTGTTGTTGATGATGATGATGATGGTGCGTGTTTACACATCTGCCACAAGGCTGTAATTATCACCTCTGCATAGCAGCTTTGTTTGTGTTTAACAGATTTCATTGCAGCAGAGCAAAGTTATCCTGTACAAAGGGCTGAGAAAGAAATTATTTGTTTCTGTTGTGTATAGCGCCACCATGTGGACATTTATCAAGCTCTTTTCATGTGGCTCATAACTCTTGAACCATGTCATATACAGTATAAGCAAAATTCCTTCAAATCTTCAATTACAGTGTCCCTGAGAGCTCATTGCACTGCATCCTAACACTTAACACATGCAAAGAAACAAACGCACTGCAAATTCAGAAAACATCTTTGTCAATATGACAACACATCAGCTGCAAATACTCACAACACAATGGAAGTGTTTCCAGGGGACACTAAAAAGTGATGAACTTAGCTGGGACGCACTTGTTCAACGCCCAATTGTCACTTTTGAAGTTAAAAGCATTAAATAACAAGTGCGTCCCAGCGGGTTCATCATGTTTTGCTTTCTTTTCTTTCTTGTTCTTGTGCTGTAGGACTGAATTTGCAGCGCCTTTGTGTATTTTAATGTGTTTACTTAAATTGCAGTCGGTTGAGCTCTCTGGGCCGCTGTCGTCAATGACTAGAGTTTGAGCCTAAAAAGATTCCTTCTCATACAAATTTCATTCTTTCTTCATCACATTTAGTACTGTGCATGAAATATTCAGGCAGTGGAGATCAGCTAAGGACATTTACTCAAACTCAAGTAAAATTTTGACATACACTACTTAAATTTTGTTATGACCTGGCTCAGGTGGCCACGATAAGATCAAGACACAGCATGGAGAACAATTAACAAAAAATATTTTTATTAGACCAAATTAAATATTTACATGATGGGGTGTGGTAATCAGCAAAGTCAGCGGTGTGCATGAGTGAAAGATGTGGGTGTGGGTGCTGTAAAATAAAAATAAGCATACCCAGGATGTGGTGCCTGTGGAGAGGAGCAGAAAGAGTGGTTAGTCTTTTGTAACCTGGAGCAGATGCTCCAAATCCACCAATCAGCTGCCTGCAGAGCAAAGAGATACAGATTAATATTAGCTCCGAACCTCAAGAGGTCACCAGGGATCACTACAACCATGCTACATGTATTTCTACTTCAGTTCAGAGGCAAATATTGTACCTCTTACTCCACTACATTTACTGTTTACTTGTAAGATTCTACATTGAAATATACAATAAGCTTATATTATAAAATACAATCCACTGCTTGAAGGTTAAAGCAGTGTTTCCCAAATATTATGGGATGTGACCTCTGACAGAAAAAGCTGTGTCTCTGTGGGGCCCCTTGTCACACTTCAGATTTTAATGAGTTGTTAGCAGCAGCAAAGAGACATTTCCCCTCCAGACTTCTCACATGGTTTCACTTTAATAGCTTTCTGAGGTAAAATTATATTTCACAAAAAAGAAAATGTTATATGAAAGTTAAATTTGTGTCTCTTTTTTTCTCTCCATTATTAATGTCACAATCCCACAGATTTACTTTGACTGTTTACATTGGGAACCACTGAACTAAACTACTGAACTGTGTATGAAATAGTTAAATGTGGTTCAGTCATGAGAAGCTGCAACAGTAAAATTCTGCTTATTCTTTGTTGCATCAGTAATAAAAACAACACAAAAACACACACTGGGGCTATTTTACCTCAGATTTTGTACTTTTCAAAAAAAGTCATAATATAGTAAGGCAATAAAACGTCCAAAAAAGTCATAGTATAGTAAGGCATAAACGTAAAAAAAACCCGTCATGGTATAGTAAGGCATAAAAGTGTAATAGTATAGTAAGGCATAAAATGTCAAAAAATGTCAGAGTATTATAGGCATAAAAATGTAATAGTATAGTAAGGCATTAAAAGTCAAAAAAATGTCATAGTATAGTAAGGCATAGAATGTATAAAAAAGTCATAGTATAGTAAGCATAAAAATGTAATAGTATAGGAAGGCATAAAATATAAAAAAAAAGTCATAGTATAGTAAGGCATAAAAACGTCATTGTATAATAAGGCATAAAATGGAAAAAAAAGTCATAGTATAGTAAAGCATAAACACGTCATAGTATAGTAAGGCATAAAACATCCAAAAAAGTCATAGTATAGTAAGGCATTAAATGTCATAAAAAAAGTCATAGTATAGTAAGGCATAATAACGTCATAGTATAGTAAGGCATAAAACGTCATAAGAACATCATACTATAGTAAGGCATAAAATGTCATAAAAAAGTCATAGTATAGTAAGGCATAAAACGTCAAAAAAATGTCATACTATAGTAAGGCATAAAAACGTCATAGTATAGTAAGGCATAAAACGTCAAAAAAATGTCATACTATAGTAAGGCATAAAAACGTCATAGTAAAATTAGGCATAAAATGTCATAAAAAAGTCATAGTATAGTAAGGCATAAAACGTCAAAAAAAAGTCATAGTATAGTAAGGCATAAAAACGTCATTGTATAATAAGGCATAAAATGGAAAAAAAAGTCATAGTATAGTAAAGCATAAACACGTCATAGTATAGTAAGGCATAAAACATCCAAAAAAGTCATAGTATAGTAAGGCATTAAATGTCATAAAAAAAGTCATAGTATAGTAAGGCATAAAACGTCCAAAAAAGTCATAGTATAGTAAGGCATTAAATGTCATAAAAACGTCATAGTATAGTAAGGCATAATAACGTCATAGTATAGTAAGGCATAAAATGTCATAAGAACATCATACTATAGTAAGGCATAAAATGTCATAAAAAAGTCATAGTATAGTAAGGCATAAAACGTCAAAAAAATGTCATACTATAGTAAGGCATAAAAACGTCATAGTATAGTAAGGCATAAAACGTCAAAAAAATGTCATACTATAGTAAGGCATAAAAACGTCATAGTAAAATTAGGCATAAAATGTCATAAAAAAGTCATAGTATAGTAAGGCATAAAACGTCAAAAAAAAGTCATAGTATAGTAAGGCATAAAATGTCATAAAAACGTCATAGTACAGTAAGGCATAAAAATGTAATAGTATAGTAAGGCATTAAATGTCATAAAAAAAGTCATAGTATAGTAAGGCATAAAACATCCAAAAAAGTCATAGTATAGTAAGGCATTAAATGTCATAAAAACGTCATAGTATAGTAAGGCATAATAACGTCAAAAAAATGTCATACTATAGTAAGGCATAAAA